GGTGGTTGTAAAAAAAAAAAAAAAAAAAAGAAAAAAAATAATCGATGATATTTTAACTATTTATTTATACTTTTACTTTTATCTATTTTTTACAATCAATTAAATTACATGATTATGAAATAAAATTCATACACTTTGCACATTGCCACACATTTAAAAAATAAGTCTGGGTGGTAGGTTCGGGTTCAAATATGAAGCGTATTTATTATAAATATATATTATGATTGGTTATTGGATATTATGTCGTCTTTAAGCGTTAGATAGATAATATTAATTTGATGACAAGTACGACGTTCTGGCTTGAGTATTATATACCTCTGTCGTATGTATTTATACTTATAGGTAAATTTTTCTCTTCTATCGTCTCTAGAATGTAGTGTATGACTTGCTCCACCTAGATTTAGTGGAGTGAATTTACTCTTGTGGAGTGAAAAAAATAGTCAAAATTTCATTCCAATAGTAATTTTTCACTCTAAAGAAAAAACTCATGGTTTCTCGCTTCAAGGTGATAACACTGCTCTTAGTGTTGTACCACGAGGGCAGCACTGCTACCAAATGAATTGGTATAATAAACTCACTAGTAATGATTATGTCATCATTTTTGGTATAATGATTTATCATTATTCATGAAAGCATCACCAAGTTGTACCTGGTACTGCCCTTCGTGACGCAGCACTATAGGTATTAAAGCCACCTTGAAAACTATTAAAAATTGATTATTAAGTGTTTCTCCACACTGAGTTGTACAATAAAAATTTATTCAAGCATAAGCAAATCGTAAGTTTATTTCAAATTCCTTGTATGTATTGGTGCCGATTTTCGTTTAAAGTTGAGGCAAATATAATTATAAAATATTTATTTTTATTTATTTCCGAACATCAACAGTAATTCTTACGTTATTTTAATAGTTTTATTGTATACCGATTACTATTTCGTTTTTGCATGCAAAATACAAACACGATATTTCATTAAAATTTCCCACCAGATAATTGATAACTCATCATGGAATGTCTATAAAAAAATAATCGTGACAACCACTTTTTGTTGTCTCGTAAGACTTAAGGCATTTTTTAAATAGCTAAGTATTAAATGATCGAATTGTTGATGATAGAAAAAAGAAGAAGAAACCACTATTTCACGTTTATACCAACACCTTGATCAAATTTTCTAGTATTAACGTCATTTTTATAGTAATAATGTTGGTTGAATAATTTCTAACAGTGTTACTAAGACATCTTCACTATATTCTACAATCATCATCAACATAGATAATGAATAATTATCATGAATGAATAAACAAGTCAAATCCTGTGTGCTACAGAGTTTTTGTTTATTTTTTTACATGGCTAAATTATGCCCTGATAAACAAACGAGGGACTCACTGTGTAACAAGGGTGTTTTCATTGTTTATCTGTAAATAAATAAAAAACGACGCAATCACCACGTGACACCGAGTATCTTCATTTTATCTCCAGATAACTAAACAATTATAAAAACAATTAAGCGAATCAATGACTGATAAGAGCGTCTTTGCTTACTTTGTACAAGAATAAAGTATGCATCGATAAACAAATGCCCTTCTTCGATTGTACTTTACGTGAGTAACGAGCTGTCTTTGTCTGTGCACTATATGAGTAAACAAATATTATTTCTGTACAAATGAGCCAAAATTAAATGTCATTTTTTACAAAGTTATTATAGTTCGATTGATTATTACTGATAATTATCCAAAGTAATATTACTGATTATTACTTATCCAAAGAATAAACATGAAAATTGTCTGGTTCATTTATTTTCAATTCACTTGTCTAAATATAAAACAAAGACACCCTGTGTCAAATGTCATGGCTGATTTTAGGTAAGTTCGTTGCGAATCTCTGATTCCGAGGAGTAAAATCAGTTATTTTTATCTTGCTGTTTTGCTGCATGAGAGCATATACTGCGCATATTTTTTTATCTCTGCATCGACAAACTACAGTATAAGCATGTAACTATATGTACACTACTGTTGCTCCGCAGTGATTGCAACTCGGTCTGATATTATATTGTTGTTATGTTATATATTTATCTGACCTTCACCTTCGTCTTTGGCTCTGCATTTAGTGATGTAATAAAAATCGTGTTCACATACGTAAATGCATCAGCCATTGGGACTACAATAAGATTATTAAGTAAAAACCAAGTTTTATGAGTAAAAAAATCTTTTAGCCGCACACCTACAGTGACTTTTCCTTATTAAATGCAGGACTATCCTCGGGACTATCGTTTGTTCCCTATATATTAGTATCTACTACAAAGGAAAATTCTAGAAAAAAATCCATGTACAATAGATGATGTTTTGGATGTTTTTTTGTTGAAAACAGCTCTAAAAAAAAAATAACAACACCGAGACGAGTGATGTATGTGTGATCAGCACGCTAATCGCTGAGTCAACGCCACTCTTTTATAATTAATTATTTATCTAAAGCTTAAAATACACGCAGTGATAAAGCCGTTTGTTAATCAATGCATAATTTACTTTCACATAAAGTAGGAGACACCCTCGGTTCGCAGTGATTGACTAGATTGTTTTTCCAATTATTTATTCATCTAAAGATAAAATGAACATACTCAGCTTCAACAGTGATATGGTCATTTATTTATTTGTGGGTTGTTTGTTAACCTATCAATACAACAAAAACCCTCGTCTCGCAGTGATTGGCTTGTCCGTTTATCAGTGCATAATTTATTCATTTAGAAAAAAAACAAAGACGCTTCATGAGATTGGATCAACCGAGTCTGTATGATAAGAAACCTAGAAAACTACGCTGAAACATTTTGATATTATTCATAGGCAAGTTCATGTACGGTCTCCAGATCTGAAAACTATAAAGAACAGATGTGAGGACGAGAGAAATGTAAAATGTAAAGCAACCTACTATACAGCGCTTCCTTAGAAACCCTAAAGTCGAGTAGGCTGTTAAGAGTGCACCATCATTGTGCTTATCAATGACTTCTATTAAAAATATAAAGTTTTTCAGCTAATTTGATCAGTCTAATTGTCGGCACTCAGGCAAATGACGATGGTGAAAGATTAAATCACCACTTGGTCTATTGGCTTCGTCCCGGAGCTGTTGGTATGGATTCATCAGTGGCCATGTATAACAGCTCTTGCCTACACCCAGTTGGGGTACTCTGGTTTATCTAGAGGCTCTTTGAATTCTAATCAATGCCAATTTCAGCCAAGTGTGGAAAAACTCAAGGAAGTGTAGCATACGCTAAGCAGATGAATAGTGTTACAGAGACTCCTTACGACCCCTATCGGATTGTTTCGAAACTTTTAACCCCTAAAAAGTAAACAAGGTGTTGAATGTGTTACTAGTATACATAAATATCCTGTCAATACAAGTACATGGTTATCAAAGTTTTTATTAGCGTCACAGGTGACGGGAACTATGTGCACAGAGGGGGTACACAAAAAAAAGGAATGTAGCAAAGTGAATGTATGATTATTAATAAAAAGCTACTTATTGTTGTTACCAAGCAGTCGAAGCGTACATAAAAATAAAAATAAAATATATCTACAAGAAAACGTTTGGTGGAAGCAAAATAAAATAAAATTGTATGTATCTCGTCAAACATTCGGACATTTCTCAATTATTCATTCGAGGATCATCTCAATTGCAGTGGACGTTGATATTGTCATTGGTTTTGCTCTTATCGTGTGTACAACGAACTTCGGGCTTTGAAAAATTGTGAAGGAGAAAAGATTTATCTCTTTCACATTTTCAGAGAGTTGACAAGGTCAAAGGAACATCAATAGGTGATCGCAGGTTATCAAGATGCAAAATTTCTCCTGCCAGTTCGACAAACCACTCGCCTTATTGGCTGTTCCCTCTCCCCGTGGGGCACTTGGCACGGTATATAAGATCACTGCCAAGCTGAATTTACTCCATACCGATTTTCGTGCAGAAGACCCCACTTCTCTTCAACTGTAACGTTTTTGGGCTAATATTACGTAAAGGGGTGAAAAAAAAAAGAAAAAAATGGATATCGACGAATTCCGCGAGCGCGGCAAAGAGATGATAGACTACATCTGCGAGTTTGTTAGCACTATAAAGGATCGGAGGGTCACACCGGACCTCGAGCCGGGATTCCTTAAACCAATGCTGCCGTCCGAGGCACCCATGGACCCGGAATCATGGGACGACATCATGAAGGATGTAGAGAATAAAATTGTACCAGGGGTCAGTATACTCATTATTATTATTATTTTTTTTTTCAATGACATTGGAATTTTCGTGATTTATTGTCAGATTTTGATTTTTAACGTGATCAGTGATACTATTTCACAGAAATAATGGTGGAAGCATCAACAAATGTACTAATGAAATTTTTTTTATATGAATCCCTTAGATCGATTTGGGAGTCCTTTTTTCTCATCACTTAAAAAGTGCGTTCTTGCTTGCTGTTAAAGAATAAATTATCCAATGCTTTATTTTATCCATACATTTACTGGAATTTTTTTTTAATGAAATGCAAAATAAAATCAACTTTTACATTATAAGATAAATAAAAGTTAACTTTATTAAATAATACACGAAGGGCAATGTATTTTTTCATTACTACAAACGAAGGATTTAACTCGTATACATGATAAGGTTAATGCTGAAAAAGTATACTTTTGACGTGTTGAAATAATTATTCATCGTTTTACGCGTTAGAATCAGATTTTCAAGGTAAATTATAGTATCGATTGTTTTTATTTTGAACTTTGTAATTTCTGTACTATTTTTGTACCTCTTGCATTATATAGTGCAAAAAATTTTAGATCAACGTCGGCGTCTAATCTTCTTACTGTCTTTATCATTCCATTTCTTAATTATTATTTTCATTTCTTTACAAATTGAATTATTTCAAAGTTCGGGAATCAGAAAAAATCAATGAACCCCCATGATAAGTACTTTTTAATTCTTCATTTACGAACTAGTTAATTGATGATTTGTCACAATGCAAATAGACCTTTTTTGAAATGTTTTCAAGAGCATCGTCAATTACCATTTAAGTGGTATCCAAGTGTAAGACTAAATTGTTTAGTAACATTGTGCATGTGACTATTGGCATAATTAAAAAAATATTGTTCATAAAAATAAAATAAATATCTAATCGAATCTATTTATTCTTTGTGTCTCTCAGCTTGTGTTCTGGCAGCACCCACATTTCCATGCGTACTTTCCAACAGGCAACTCATTTCCTTCCCTCCTTGGTGACATTCTGTGTGATGCCATGGGATGCATAGGATTCTCTTGGGTAAGTTGATGCAAATATCTCCACCCTCGGCATCATTGACAGCCGTTACGTTGCTTTTTTAATAGTAGTTTTCCTACGAGTTTGAAAAGTCTTTGTTTGCGAACCGAGAGGTTTGCGGCCCGAGCCGAAGGCGAGGGACTTAACGAGGTTCGCAAAGGAGACTTTTCGAACGAGTTCCGGAAAACTGCTTTTTCGCCCGAGGAAGTAACAGCCTCCTAAAACCACCCGAGGGCGGAAAAAGTTTTTTTCTCTTAAAGGGTATTTTGATAACTCGTAAAATTTTAACTCATGTAATTTTTAATTCAAGCCATCAACTGTCGTATCATTTTATTTCATATTGATTGAGTAAAATATTTCGTATAAAATAGTGTACTGAGTGATGAGCTGACTATATTATTAATTATCTTTTTTTTTACTTGTTAAATATTTTACTTTTTGGTTGTATTCTGATAAAAGAGCGCTTAATTACCAATTGAAAAATTATTGCCCACTCAATTCAAATAAGTTGTATACACAAGGTAATAAGTTAATAATTCAAGTTTTGTTACCCGGAGATACGATTCTTTTACCAACATGGAAATGAAAGAAAAACTAAGGGAATCTCATACACGAATTCACCTTAACCTTTAGTGGCCGGGGGTCGTCGATATTTCGACCACCTGTCAGATCAAGTGTCTGAAACGAGTTATCTACTCAAATTATATATAAATTTTGGGCAAAAAAAATGTATAAATTATGTGAATAAAATTTCTAGATTAACGAGTAATTATTTTCATACATTATATTCGACATTTCAGGCATCCTCGCCCTCCTGTACGGAGTTGGAGACAATAGTCCTCGACTGGTATGGTAAGTTTGATTTTCATTTCCTAATTACTACCGCCACTATCATCATTACTAGCTAAATTTTAAACCAAAGCAACGCTGCAACGAATGACAACTGCAGACATATGTGTTCACTACATACTTATTCCTTAATTTACCCCAGTCAAAATATTTAAATTTTGCAAAAAATTTTCAAAAGTTACAAGTGTTTTGTTTTGAAGAAGTTTTGCAATACTTTTTTAGCAAGAAATTCCAAAACTTTTACAAGAACTTTAGTTTTTTTGTACATAATTTGGAAAAAGTTTAAGTAAGGGTACATTGATACAAGCTGTGCCCCTTTTTTCTTGGACTCAAAAAGAGAAAGGCCAAGCTTTATTGTTGTTATTGTTTTTATTATAATAATAATAATAATTATTATCATTATTATTATTATTATTATCATCATTCACACCAATATTATTATCACCATCATTATTATTATTATTAT